ATATATGTGTGTGTGTGTGTGTGTGTGTGTGTGTGTGTGTGTATGTGTACACTTCTCATTCAACCACAATTAAATTCACACATGTAAGCACAATTTATATGGACAGCATTTAATTTTTACAATAACAAGCTGGACTGAAAACAAGCAAAAAAGAAATAAAAGTAATGTAAAAGTAATTTAAAAAAATGTAAGGAGTAGAAAGTACAGATAATTGTAAGAAAATGTAAGAAGAAGTAAAAAGTAGGCTAAAAATAATTACTCAAGTAAAGTGCAGATACCCAAAAATTCTACTTAATACAGTAACAAAGTATTTGTACTTAGTTACTTTACAAATCTGCAAACAAGGCAAGGTAAATAGTTTTTAAGATGAAAATATAAGGATAAATTTGAATTGAGCCAAAATGGCCATTATTTTTAGATGGTTAATTTTGCAATGCTGCTCAACATCTGTTAAACTAATTGTAGACATTTTTTTTCAAGGTCGGTTGTTTGAGGTGGCCATCTCAAATCAGGGTGACATCCTGCAACCACTTTCTGAGAGTTTTATTTAAATTTATCTGGTGATGCATGGATTATTTCTGCTGACAAACACAGATGCACATCAMCATCCGCTTTTTTGTCTTTCAGCAGTTGATGATAAAAGAGAAAAGTGAGAAAATATCTCGTTGTTCACATAAAGACTGACAAGATAACTGGTTAACAGCTGGTCTGTTGTCCTGGTRTAAGAAAATTAAACTGCTCCTCTCCTTGAGAACATGTCAAAGTGGGCACAATATCAGACAAGATGGAAARTAAGATTGAAGCTTGTTTTTTAGACAAACACAGATGACGAAGTGCTGGTTTTTATCCWGTGTAGCTTATACGAATTCCACAAGAAATATTTATCTAACTAGTACTTAAGAAGGTAATTTTAATGTTAGCAGTCTCCTTATTCAGCCTTTTTCTAACAACATAAAAAACTTTTTTATTAATACCCAAACGTATCTTCTTATGCCTGCTTTAACAATAAAAATCCAGTAACTTAGTATCTTGACTCCATGATCCTAAAACRAGAGCAGGCTTTAAACTTTCAGTATCTTAACCTGAAAAGTCGGCTGAAGGAGACAGCTCTCAATCTTTGCTGCAGCTGCCACCGCTAGCTCTAAAGAACAAAGCTTGTAGTGGGTCACAAGTCGTTTATTTTTAAACGCAGCACTAATCAAGCCAATCAGGTCACAGAAGAACAGACTGTAATCCTGTAGCTGCTGTATCCAGATAGTGTGATTCCCACATGTCCACCAACAAGATTAGCATGGCCTGAGAGGGCAGAGACACACTAATCAGATGAATCWTGGCCTGAGAAAAAAATACTAGTAAACAAGAGAAAAATAAAAGACTGAAAAAAGTTAACACGTCTGGTTCGTCACATGATGCTGACTTTAAGACATGTTTAAGATTYTCTGTCATAAAAATGTGAAAGGTGAGCAGATATGTTTCTGCTTGTGCTTGCAGGTGTGATAAAAAAGAATATCTTTTAAATTTTCAATTTTTTCAGTCAGTTCAGAAAGTTGAGCTCATTTATATTATTTTATCTATTTATTCATCATATTTCATTCATTAAAAACAACAAAATGTCCATTTAAAACAAGTAAATCAATTACTGAAAGAAAAGGGTGCAGAAAGAAAGAAGAAAGCGTATATGTGCCCCTTATTAAAAGAACAACTTAAATTTGAACAATCTCCATCTGAGAAAATAAAATATTTAGATTTTTTATTCCTTTTTATTTATTTAGATTATATAGAAATTTTATAGATTAATTAGACACAAATAAATATTTTAAACTTTTTTCTTGTCATTTTGACAACAATGACTTACAAATAACAAAAATAAATAAATAAAATTCAGTTTATGAAAATGAGAAAATGGAACTTTTTCCACGATATTCAAATTTTTTTAAGATGCACCTAAATGTGTGTCTGCTCATTTGTCTTTCATATTAGCGAGATAGCGCATGAACCAATAGACTAGATTCAAATGAAATTTTCACTAGATGAACATCTACAACTTATTAACGTTTAAAGCTAAACCATTCCAAGATGGTTGCCACAGCCAGGTGAACTCAGAAAACACAGAAATAACAACGATTTTGTCCTCTAGTAGAAATGAAGCTAAAATTCAGTGCAGTAGTAGCTGGGAGTCYTTTAKAACATATYTACTGAGTACTGCGCATTGCATGTGCTTTTTACAAAAATGTGGACATTATTTGTTGAAGCCAAATTTGTTTGTTTACATAATATTTCATAATCTTTCATAAAATGAATAGAAAGTAATAACTGAATGTACTTGACATACAGTGTCCTGGGAAAATACAAATCAATGCAATCATGCACACATTTTGTACCACTGCCCTGTATGACATGATGTGTGTCTTGCATATTGCAATAAATCCTGATTGACTTTTCAKGACTTACTTTTTATTCTAGGATCTCYTGTTTCTGTCTAGGTAAAATAAAGATTTCCAAGACACACTGTATCTCTACAGTGTATTCACTTTTGAGGTCAACTCTTTCAACAATGCCAAAAAATGGCCATAACTCTGCTAATTTCACAGATACTGAGCTGAAATTTGATGTGGTAGTAGCTGAGAATAATCTCCAACAGCAGATAACATGATATCCTCATAGAAAAAAAATTGTCTGTCAGAGTTCTGGCCCACACTATACACTAACACTCAACACTCGGCCCAGATGCCTCAAAGAGTGATGGCTCTTTGGTGGTCCAGATGTGGTTTGCCAGAGYCGGTCCATGCATAGGTCAGCACCACACAAACCAAACTCCACCTGGACCGGTTGTTACATGCCATCTTAAAAACAGCGCGGCCTTTGCCAGACCTGGCCCATATCCTGCTGACAAACCAGTTGCCATACCAGCAGTGGCAGCTTGACACCAGATCTGGCCCACATCTGTCTTGATTTGGGATCATTACAAATTTATTTTTAAGATCCGACCAAAATGGCTACAACTCTGTTATTTATTAAGATAAAGTAAGATTTTTGTTTAAAACGGCGACACATTGTACGCATTCTTTCAAGAAATGTTTGGCCTTTAATATTCAAACTGTTTTGCTAATAAATCTAAAACCACAATAAATTATTATTATTGTTTTAAGTTTATAAATTTATAAGTGGGTGTAAAAGTGAAACAGTGCATCACAGAATTCAACTTAGAGCTTTTATATAACAATCTGGCCTAATGTTGTGTAGGCGTGCTTGTGATGGTAAAACTGCTCAGACACTTTAAAGGACAAACAATTAAAGATGTTTAAAGGAACTCATTACACAACAGCAGCTGATTGTTGTATGTTGTGTGTTGGGCGGCTTTGTGGGTTCATTATGTTTTCCAGATGCTTCAGATCAGTTTGCGATTAGATACATTCAAGGCAACTCCTTATGGTAAATTTGTAGCAGGATGTAATATTTTATAAAAAAAAAAGGCCATAATACTGCTGCCATYCAGGGGTGCATATCATCTGCAACTACGTATGTTGAAGTTGATGCTAAGAAACCTTGTATCCCACATGGCAGACAGGTGTGGGCCAGATCTGGCAACGATGGCACTGTTTTTAAGACCTAAGTGGCCCAGTTGTGGTTCAGTTAATGTGGTGCTGGCCTATGCTTGGACCACCTCTGGCAGACCAAATCTGGGCCACCACAGGTCCATCATTCCTTGCGGTATCTGGGCCGAGTGTTAGAGTGTTTGGTGGATTGTATGGACCAGAACTGGGCCAGACAAATTTTTCCTTTGTGGAGTCATTGTACAGATTCGTCCTGTTSTAAATGCCACATGAAGGAAACAGACATCAGCGAGGACACTCATTGAACAGAAGCGATGAAGCTTTATCCATTAAAGCTAAAGTGGAAACGTGTTCTGATCGTTTGTGCTACACTATGCAGCAACAACAGCACCAAAGCCAGCCTGTGGACCTTATTATTCCTTTTTTTTTACAGTTTCTCCCATTTCAAGAGCCTCAACTTCAACAAGTGACTGCTCAAATAAACTTTTTTTTATCACACTAACTTCACAATTTACAAGTTTTAATGACTCGACTCCTGTATTTTTGCTGTGTAAAGTCAAACAGAGTTGATTTACTGCATAAAAAAGGCTAAACCTTACCCCAAAACTGTTGCCACACATTGCCATCAGTGTAGCAGGCTGTCTGCAGGCTGCTGATGAGAGACGTTTTATCACTCTGATTGTGCTTTGAGAAGCCAAGTAGAACAGGCTGGCAGATTTACTYGTTTAGCAAGTAGGTGGAAAAGGTCTTACGACAGGATGAGGCCTTCTCTCTGTTTCACTAACACTCTGGTGAGATCAAACGTAGCCCTCCTGACAAAATGAGACCRATTTATTGGAGGTAAAGAAAACACAAAGTCTGCGTCCAGCGATGGATGGAGGTGGGGGTTGTGTAATAGAAAACGTGTGTGTTACAGAAAGCTGAATATCTGGATATGTGAGCCATCGGTGGAGGGATGAAACGCAGACCATTAACTGCAGCTGAGTGTGAAAAGAGCCTCTTGTTCTCGGGCATGTGTGTAAACACGGTGCTGTTCTGACTGATGACAGGAAAACAATGGAGCAAAATAAAYGCTTCTATTACACTTTCTGATGGTTACAGACGTGCGGCGTGATGATCGAACATTACGGTCAGCCCTTGTGAGCTTTATMACTTGTTTTCAATGCAGTGTGAGAAAACGTTTTTATTTCTCATTCAAGCAAACTAAAAGCTGAATTGGTTGTTACACAATAATGCATCTCAACGGGGTAAAACAGCCCAAAAGCATTGTGAATGCAGCTTTAAAGCAGCAGACGTAAATCAGGGTATTTGGGATTTTGGTGTTGTTAGGGACTATTGCACATTTGTCAAACTTTAGGATTTGGCCCTTGTTACAATTTTTTGTGGTTCACGCAGTAAAATTTTAATTTAGTAGAACTTACTCCCCAGTTTATGACAGATTGAGCCTCCATTTCACCTAACTAAGTACACTCCTTAAAAAACACACAACAGGATTAGCTTAGAAGCACAGAGAGTGAATTTCAATTTGTAAGAAATGTGTTTGGCTTTGACCTGGAAAGAACAACAGAAATGTCTGAATGTGACGGAGGTCAAACTCTTTTAGAGGAACCTGCAGCCAAAACAAAATATGATGTCAGAAACAATTTGAGCTGATACGCATCAGAGAAACAACATCTGTTAAAATGTATGAATACTTTTTTTTTCTGTATTCTCCTCCGATGTCAAAATAAAGATTTACTGGTTGTTTTTAAACCGATTTAATTGATTGTAAAAAACAAAACAAAACAAAACAAAAAACCCACAACACTAAAAATAATCAACTAAAGGCTTAGCAATCTTCGAAAAAAAAATGCTTAAATGATAAATATTACAGATTTGTTCTTTTAAATTAGATATTTTCTTTGAGTCATCATGTTATCATTTATCATTTATGCTACTATGTTTATCATAAAGACCCTGTCACACTATAACCTTTTAGACAACTTATGCCAACTTATGAAATGATTTTTTTAGTCTAATTTACTAATAAAAGTTATATATTTGATCAATTTGTTAACATTACAGTATGTACACACCTAAAAGAGGTTTTTCATAAGTTGGTATAAGTTGTCTAAAACGTTATAGTGTGACAGGGCCTTAATTAATCCAGCAAGGCCCAGTTTTGTTTTCTAGAATTATTGTAGCCTTATTTTAGACTTTCTGCTTTTTGCTTTTGTAAAATGAAACTTAATTTCACACTTGTCTGCATCTGGAGATTTTAGTTCTTTTTATTGCATTTATTTGTGTTAGAAAATAAAAGCAAAGTTTTATTCAATGGTTAAACTTTAGTCAAAGTGGTTGGTTTCGCATGAAGGCAGGCATTAATTTTTAACTTCATGTGGTCACGGCGGTTACAACCCATCCATGAGCAGATCTCCCTCCTTCTGACGGCGGCGATGAACCGGACTTACGTTCATGTCAGCTGGGAATTCGTCCTTCTTCACCAGACCAGTGGCAGCGACGATGTTCCCCATGGCTCCAGTGGTCTTCTCAGCCACTGCACACAAACACACACACAAACACACACAGAAAAAAATCATTACCCCAGCAGACTGGGCCGACACATTAAAAGTACAACGGCAGACATTTTATGTTTCTCAATTGACTATTGACCAAAATGACCTCTTGCTCACTTCTAACAACAAATGTGTTAGCAACAGACATAAAGCTCACCTGTGCCCACGCTGTCTTTGGCCTTGCTACCTAAAAAGAAAAAAAGCAAATTAGTTAGAAAATGTGTTGTTTTCTGAAAAATATTGCGTCATTTTGCATTTAGACATTTTAAAACAGACGTGTTTGCCTTCTWGTCTAAGTGCCTGTTTTGAGTTTTTTTTAATTTTTAATTTTTATTTTTTATTTTAAGGTAGAAGTTAAGCTCTTAAAACAGAGAAACAGCTGCAGGGACTACAGTTCAGCAGCTCCCAATTAAAGAAAAAACAGACACAGGAATTCTTTTGAATGCCGTCTGAAAAATGGTACACCTAGAGCTGAAAGCAAATGTCTCATGCTGTCATTTCAATGTTAGCAAACGTAAGTTCAGGAACAGATTCAGCCACATCTAACCTAGGTTAGTTAAAGGAGAAGCTGGTATTTTATGTTTCTCAGAAAAAATGTGTCTCACATCAACTAAAATCATTCAGTTTTGGCACACAATCACCTGTGTCTTTTCATCATACCTTGGCTGAACCATGTCTATAATCTAAATCATCATAGTTGACAATAATATGTGTCCCATTGTCACATCAAAATGAGGATTAAGTCCAAAAGTGGAATATAGAGAAATAGACAAAAATAGGGTTTTGATTTAAATAAGTGCAAAAATTGCCTTTTGTCAAAATATAATGAATTAATGCCTTATTAATGTATCATTTGAATGAAGTGTCTAAAATATAATGGCAAAAAATTTTTTGAAGTGTTTTTTTGAGCAGTAGCAACAAAAAAAAACTGATTTTGAGGAAAAATGCTTTTAAATTTTTAATTTTTCCCTGTGAGGTAGAAATGTTTTTGTTTCTTTCCAACTGGTAAATCTTAAAATACAAACTCTATTTGAGGTTTCATCTTTATATTGTCATAAAAATTATTCAATAAATTTATATGAAATTAGGATTCAGACCAAACAGTATCATAACCAACAAGACAAATTAAGTCTTATCTCTGGATAAGCTTATTATATCAGGATGATCCAGGTATCAAAATGTAGCTCTTCAAGCAGGAATTTGAAAGTGTAGTTGGGTCATTTTGACCAAATTTGATTTAATCCTCATTTCGATATGATGAGTCACATATGAACCAGTGACCCACGCGACCCTGAAAAGGAAGAAGCGTGTACAGAAAATGGATGGATGGATGGATGGAGTCACATATGATGTGGTTCTGATGATGTCTTCAACCCATCAATGTGCACTGTTATGGTTTTTGGTGATGTAAGATGCAGCTGAGCTGAACGTCAGCTCGTTTAGGTCTGAGGCRTCAGTTCTCAACCTGAAAAGGGTAGAATATTCCCTCTGGGTTGGACTGAGTCTGTCCTTGAAGCATCTTGTAGTCTTGTTCACAAGTGACGACAGGATGGAGCACTACATGAGCCGATGTATCACAGGAATGAGGGCYTTGTTCTGGTTTGTTGTGCTGAAGAAGGAGCTGAGACAAAAYCCAAAGCTCCTGTGTTACTCTTCTGTCTACGTTGAAACCTCACCAATACGTTAGAGATATGAATCAAGAATCATGTCAGCAATTAGGATGCCTTCTGGATTACTGTCTGTGGAGGCTTTTTAGGCACAGCCCCCTGAGAGGAGACCTCAAGGCAGACCAAGAACTGCCTGAAGAGCTTACCATCTCTGGTCTGGGAACACTTTGGAATCCCCTAAGAGCTGAAGTGGGTCACTGAGGATGTCTGGATTTTCTTCCTGTTTCTATTATCGGACCATTGTTAAGTGAAAGAAAACTAATTAGTTGTTGAATGGGTGGATGGGTGATATAAGATCCGATTGTTGGACAAGGATCTAATTTATTTGCTTGTTCCTGTCACCATTCTGTGGCTAATAGGGCCCAAAAATATAAACGTACACATGGCTCGACAAACAGAACAAAAAGCTAGTACAAAATCCAAAGGCCAGTCTGGCAGCAAATTATTTATAAAGAAGAACTAAACACATAAAAAATAAAAATGCTGACAGAGCAGCAACATACAAAAGAATGCATAAAGACACACTGAGCTGACTGACTAAAGGTTGACTGAGGACCAAGAGTTTAAGAAGTGAAATGATGAGGCTTCATGAATATGAGAAGCAGGTGGGAATGGATAGAAAATGGCTGATGACACAAGGAGACACCAAAAAACTAAACACAAGGAATCTTAAAGGATAAAAAAAGCACAAGAAATAAAACAAAAGAAAAAGCAGCATGACTAAATAAAGTCCACAAGATAAAAAAATAATGTCACAAATCTCTTAACCAAAACACAAAAAACACAATATCATGACAGTTCACCTGAGCTCTCAGTTATAACCTCTTTTCTCTGACATTTAATAGATGGCAAAAATACATTTATTCCAATTTCTAAAATATGRTTCAACTCTGAAAAGTGGAACTTCTAGAAGAAAAAAGAAAAAAACTTTTATTAAACTCAAGATTAGATGTGGATGACTGAGAATCTGTAGCAACGTACTGTCTGACGTTACTTGTATTTTTCATCATTACAGAATTATTATTTCGTACAAGTAAATAGTTTCTGCAGTAAAAAGTTAACCTGACAAACAATTAGGTTAATTTAAAAAGCTGCCCTTTATGCCACAGCTTCCCATATGAGAGCTGTAAAACATAATTATCTCGATTACATCTGAAGTGCTGCTATCAACCAGTTAAGTCGGATAAAACTAAATTGGTACCATTTTTCATCTATTATTCATTACTGGTACAAGAGAAGCTTCAMCCATCTGGGTTTCTGTGTGCTTTTATTAAAGGGAGTTATAAAAACTTTACAGCCATGTTAAAACACAACCAAGCCGTTATACAGATCTCATCCACCCACAAAGAACTCTTTCAGGACTATTGAGCTGCTTCTGATCACTCAAGCRCTGTCTAATTTGCAGTGTGTCTTAACAAAACTATAAAGATGGTCTCACTACCAAGGGTGAGACAGACGTTCATTTAAGGACCAGTTTCAGTGAAAAAGAAAAGTTCAGTATGAAATCTGTGACTGTCAAAAGCTAGAGCCTATTAATGAATTATTAATGCATATTTCTATCTTAGATAGAATATTTTATATGGCATTGTTCTGGACCAAACAAACATACAAAAAAACAAACCGAGAATTAAAACGATTTTAAAAAACGACTTTAAAACTAATTCAGGATAAATTTTGTGGTCAAAAAGAACAAAAGATTACAATTACTAATTTCAAAGGCAAACTCACCTAATTAATATCAAAACCTATTTGTCATTTTTAAATTACCAACACAAAAATGATACAACCAAAGTAGATTGGAACAATTTATATTCATCATTATTGACCAACTTAAGCTTAAATTGTTTAGCCATTAGAAGGTCCATGAATATTTATGCAGAGTGATCAATAGAAAAGAGTCACAGTTAGACTGGTGCCACTGCAAAGATTTATAAAGGGAAAGCTTTGCTTTAAAGTGTTCCCCTGCACAAACAACACAGTTGTGTCACAAAAGTGAAAAAAAAAAACAAAAAAAAAAACGCCCCATGAATCTATGTATGAATCAAACCATTTTCTGTCATCAAGTCACATCTCTCTGCCTCGCTCAGTCGGACTGCAGCAGCTGTCAAAAGGTGGACCGCAAACCTCCCATATCCTCCTCCGGGAAGAGACTTCAAGCTAAGCACAATCCAGGGCCCCCGTCATGCACAACAACAGCGACAGAGATGCCACAGAAATGATCCTGCTCCTCGTTGTGCAGCGTGGACAAGAAGGGACGGAGCCTGCGCACGTTTGACAGTCCGTATGAAGGACACAGGACACAGGGCTAAATACGCTAGGTGGTGGGATTCATCCTCTGCTCTGACACATATGTGACAACTGCATGGATACAAGCTGGTGAGAGCAGAACAATAAGCTGAGGTGTCACTGGGAATCTGAACTCAACAACTACTTGGTCCATGTGCCAGAGGAAAAAATTGGTATCGAAAAAGGGAGTAAAAATGTTGGCATAGACCCAAGGTATTGATAAAAATGTATGATGGCAATTTCAATGTGGCAGCTCAAGGCTTTTAGATGCAATTTTTATTTTTCAAAAAGCAACAAATACAGAATAATAGTTTCCCAATTCAGCGTGAGATTGACAGAGGGAACGATACGGCTTCCACTGTACTGAGGATGTTGGACTGGTCTCTTTTGGTGAAGAGGGAGCTGAGCTGTAAGGCAAAGTTCTCTGTTTACTGATCAGTCTACGTTCGTACCGTCACCTACGAACTTTTGTAGTGACCAAAAAAAAAAAAACAAGATTGTGGATACAGGTGATGAAATGAAATGAAATGAAATTTTCTTCACAGGGTAGCTCTCCGTTAGAGATAAGAAGTTCAGTTATCCTGGAGAAACTCAGAGTAGAGCCGCTGCTCCTCCACATCGAGAGGAGCCAGTTGAGGTGGTTCAGACATCTTGTAAGGATGCCTCCTGTTTCCGGGGGTGGGGGG